AAGAGAGGCCAGGTTGAACATCGGAAAAATTCCCAGCAGCAGAACAGAATAAACACACAAGAGATGGACGCTTTGAAGACACAACTTTATTGTAAAACAGTCTCTTTTTGAGTTATAGCTTATACGGCCGACACGTTTTGAGCAAAGGCAATCTAGCACAAAAAGAGAGAAACGTGAGCGATTTACTGCATGTGGGAATCATACGTATAATATTATTTGTTTATGTCGGGTAGCATTACTGATTGGCTACAAAGAATGAAAACGTCATTCTGTGCGACAGTAGTGCGCTTTACGCACTACTAGTTAACATGTACTGTAAGTGTCTGGTGAAACCGAAATTCTGTGTGTTGCTAGTTTTAAACTAACTACTCTCAGGGTAAGGTTTAGGATAGCCTTCACACCCCAACTTACAATTGAACTTACATTCAGCTGGTGCAACTGGCTGCTGATCACAAATCAGATCTAAGCCACTTTCATATGTAGCCCTTAATCACATACATATGCAATTTGTGGCCATGCAACCTCAATATAATAAAAAAAAAGGTTGTACATCAGTTCAGCACAAAAGAAATATGTTAGCTAAAGGTTGATTTAACGTATTTCATTTGTGAGATACCAGTGTACACATTAGAATCATGCAAACTCTTTAACAAGCATAGAAACTTTCATCTGAACCAACCACTTAACCTTACCATACACTTGATGATATACAGAATCCAAAACTTTTTTTTTTTTTAATGAAGGTCAGTGACTTCCAGTCTCTGATCATTGTACCAGCATTAACATAAATCCAGAACCAGATCACAAACAGTCATGGTCACATCTGGTTTAAAATTTACACAGAGAAGGCAGGCAATCTAAAGTGCAGTCTTCTTTAACCCCTTAAAATCCCAGGCTTATTACATATTAAGGCTTTTTATTCAGTAACTACAGGGACTTCAATGCAAATGAGATTTAGGATCCACAGTTTTTTTTTTTTTACCTGATATTATATTTTAGCTGACATGACCAGCCTAGTCACATCACCAGGTTTTCACCTCATGCCTTTTAACTTAAAACAGTGAGTTGATGAGTTTGTTAGGGGATACCAAATGATAAACTCACTAAACGATGTTAAAAAAAACAACTTTTAGTCTATTAAAATTTTGTACAGTAATTTAGAATACAAAATATTATTACGTATCCTGAGCTGAAGATAAGTTTGAACTTAAGCTTGCGTCACATCCTATTAGACTGCAGAGTAGGGTACCATTCTCTCCTTCTTCTGCTTTTCTTGGCTGGAAAGTCCTATCATGTCCTAAATAGTCCCGTTTCTTAAAATGTCGCTCTCAATCCATATCAGTTGCCAAGGAAGACAGCACTCAATTTAATGCTAACATGGCATCTTGGCTATAGGAGTAAACTGATACGCCAGATGGTAATGAACAAAACAAAATCTCATCATTTTGGGAATCTTTGTTATCAAAGTTTGCTCTCTGACTCATTCTTCTTTTTGAGCATTTTGTGTTTAAGCTCCACTCTCATACACTTTGCTAATCAGCTGGCTCTAACATTCAAGTCAAATGCATCAATACATTCGCCAATCAGCATCAGAGCTTATGTTTTGAATAGATCTGGTCTGAATGACATATTTAAAAAGATGATCAATGGTGTATAAGAATGTTTGTGGGTGGGTGGTGGGTCAATAAATAAATCTCTTGGGAAAGACACAGCCAGTCAGAGGCCCTGAATTACTTGGGGCTTAGGCCTAGGCATGAAATCCCCTTAGCCATCATCTTCAAGTCTGAATATTGTCCATTTCTATGGATAACAGTCTATAAAAAGTAAATTTCACATATAAGTACTTCATAATAATTTATATCACATTCTACATTGTCATTTTTCAGACAGTTTTACGATTACTGTGGTCTACTAGCGATGCTTCACAGTCACTGTCCATTGAGGATTATAAGTAGACCCTTGGGCTAGAGTATTATTAGTGGGTATGACCTCCTACTCACTCTGACTTTATTGCAATTGTCACTCGGTGTTAAGTTTCATTCACATGTCTCCTCCTGAGCTAGGGGATGTAGTTTGCAAAACAAAACTTCTGGGATGCCCTTTCACTACATACATATAACTCTGTAGCCTCTTTGAGAAAATGAGAGAAATGCATAGTAGTGGATCTTACTGTACGAGTTTTTGATCACTATGTGTGATAAAGTATAGGAGAATGGGGATATTGAGTACCGAGCATAGATGCTTTAGTAGTGCTATGTAGTCATTAACTGAAAAATGTACAAAAGGCTGCTCACAGTGGCATTCAGAAAAGGATTCTTGTTTAAATGAAGTGCATCCAGTTCAAATGAAACTGCCCTGTTTTTTGCTGTCTAAAGCAGCTTCCTGCTCATTTTTGCTATCTGAGTAGAAATGAAACTTTTTAAAAGCTTGAACAGACAGCTGTTTTTTTTCTTTTCAGAACACATTTGTTTTTTTTTCTTTCTTTTCTTTCACTTAATTGGATCCGTGTGAACAGACGGCCTTTTTTGCTGCACCATCAGTTCTTGAAAACTCATTTTGTTCCATGTGATTTTGTGCCATAAATTTGAATGAAAACTGTGCATTAAATTGTGGACCTTATTCTGTGATTTATATTGCTTCATAATAATCCTGGAACACATTGTCTATGTGAGTCAGACTGTGTTGCTCTACTGACCTGCAGAAAAATTCAATTGCATTTGTGTCAAATGTTACTGTACTTATTATGTACATAAGCTTTTAAAGTGTAAGTGACCATGCAGGTGATTTGACCAGAGATGTGCTTAGATAGCTATTCACCTGTACAGTGTTTCTTTTTTTCTGTGTTGTTAGTCTTTTTCACCAGGTAAGCACAGGTTTATGTTTCATTTTCACCTATGCTATGATCAATGTGCATTAAGGCCTTTTTTGACAGAAAAACAACTAAAAATATTACATTTTTACATTTTAATGAAATTTGTCACAATCCAGAGTTTTACGTCACAGACCTCTGTAGCAAGAAAACGTTGCCTTGAGTTTAGCATTAGTTGCAGATTCTCATTGTCAACCTATAGCACGACTGCCTTGGCTGTGTTGACCTCTGGAGTGGGGAGAGGTCCTTCATATAGCAGACCTAAAGGTCCAGAATAGATGAGTAGAAAGAGTGCTAATTTTAAGTGTTTAGGCATGACATTTTATGGAATTCATCCTGCTCTGACTACAAATGACTCAGGGCTGTCAAAGTTGACGTGTTAGTAATGCATTAACACAATACATTATTGATGCTAGGCTTGGGTCAGTATGACTGTAATGAGGTATTTAAAAATCATGGCAGGATTTTAAATTTGTGATGGTTTCAAATTTCAATTATCTTGTAACTGCGCAAATAAACACATTCTGGCCATTTACATTATAGGAGAAGGGGAGCTCTCTGATTGGTGGTGTTAGATGTGCTGAAATTAAAAGGCGAAAAACAAAATGTCCAGTGCTAGCAGACTACACTAGTTGATGCACATCTAACATGCATTCCCATCTTAACATTAGCACCCTCTAATCACAGATGCTGACTAGAAGTCTGCAGCAGGGCTCACTACAATATGTTGTGGCACATTTTCAGTCTGGTACGTGGGAGCGGATGGTTAACCAGCCCAATGCAGGCAGGACCAAGACCTGGAACACATATGTTTAGAGAAACCCCACAAATGAATAAGTAGCTTAATTAATGTGATAACACTCACATTAGCATATTTAAATGATATCTAACAGCAAAAGAATTAAAATTAATAAACTCATTCTAAATAGTAGTGAAGCAACCAATCACGTGAACATCACGCAAATTGCATTCTTGTAAGCTTTTAAAGTAAAACCTTCGGCAAACTACATTGGACAGTGCTGAGAAACCTGTTATAGATAATTCAATGAGCAGCAAACTAAACAAAAGCACTAGCAAAGTGGAAAACTCCAGCTCCCCTTGAGAACCTCCACTGTAATAAGAATCCACAAGCTGTATATATAAGAATACGACACTACAATCAATGAGGAGTTGAGAGCATTGACTGTATATTTCACATGGCCGTTAGCTGGAACATGCAGCCTCTGTTGCTGTGAGTGTAATGACACTTTCAAAATACTACACGCTTTAGATTGTAAATACTGCTGCAATTCATAGTTATGTTTATATATGTCTTTTAAACTACCTCGTACCATTTAGTGCAATACCTGCTCTAAATATGCTAATAGATATACTTTTATTCCTACTATCTTCTATTTTACTCAAATTTATATCTATTTTATTTCTGCCTAATATATGTAAGTTTATGTGCAATTCTGTGTATTAGTACTGTAATGCTGCAGTTTCCTTTGGGATCAATAAAGATTTATCTATCATCTATCTAGCTATCTATCTAGAGAAAACTGTATGTATTCACATGATGAAAACAATGTTATTGAAATATTGAAAATAATGAATACATTCTGATGAAGCTTATTGTGTCCACATACATAGCTATAACAAAATGCACTGCTTTTTAAACAATCTTTCTTTAGGGACAAATTAGATAAATGCAAAGCAAATAAGATAAATGCAATTAATTGCTAAAAACTACGAAAAATATGCAGTTAATCGCAACAAGTTATTTCAGTCATTTGACAGTCCTATAATACATACATAAAGGAGAGGCAGCATTGTATGCACTCACTCAAGAGGCTGGATTAAATGGCATAACTACCTTTACTTTAATGTTGTTTTGCTATTTATTCCTGACACATTAGCGAGTCTCTGCCACATTGCTAACTACACCAGTTTTTGTTTTTCTGTTGTCAGTCCTCCAGTCCTGCGTTTGTCCCATCTTTTTCCACATGTGTAAATTCCTAGCAGTCTGGGTTTATCACATTTTCCTCAGATTTTTGAGGGTAATCACTGAACCTTATCAGCCATCCCTGTTCCATGATTGATGTTTTTCCATGTCTGATCTTATCTCATGTGTGATTCCTCCACTCCACAGACGCCGGCCGAAGGAGCCTCCACAGCCATTTACGCTGCAGCTGCCTCCGAGCTGGAGGGGGCTGGGGGGCTCTATCTGTACAACGGCCGCAAGACCGAGTCCTCAGTGACCTCCTACGACGAGCAGCTGCAGGGCCGGCTGTGGATGCAGAGCTGCGCTCTGGTGGGGCTTCAAAAGGCCTGAGGAACTGGAAGAACCCGGAGAGCTTCGGATCAACATAGCAAAGCCTGAATTCCTCAAACCCACTTTTTTGTTTGTTTGTTTGTTTGTTTGCTGAACCTCATCTCATGCCTGATGCAGTGTTAATTTGTGAGCGACAGCTGAGAGAAGTAGCATCCACAACAATACCATGGAGTGACTTGATTGCCTATATGAATGATGCCTATAAGGATAGTAGCAAAAGTAGTGGTTTCCTCACATAATGATGGTGATATTTGAACAGAAACTATCCAAAGCTAAGTGAATCAAATGAATCGAACTGGTGATTCGGACTGATCTGCACTGTGTGAACTTGCTAACCATATTATTGTTATTATAATCATAAAATAAGAACTAATGCAATAAGAAGTTCTACTGATTTGCCAAGCTGGGGAGAAGCTTGCTCCGATTTTGGATAAAGACAATCAATGAACAAGCGGATCGTAGTCATGTACTGCCTCTGGACAACTCTGCTCTCGTCCCAGCTTTGGGACACTCTCCAATGGATTAACCCATATGTAGACCTGTACTGTTCTCTGACTGCTAAATCAGACTTGCTCTAACGCATACTGATGGAGACCCACCGACTGCATTTGAGAACACTGCAGATTTTGCTGCTGGATGCTATTGGCGGGGCAGGGGAAAAATAGTCCTTCATTTCCTTCTTTCCATCGTGCCATTGAAATCCTATGTATAGAATCCTCCAGAAAATAATGAGATTGCTTTTCCCCCCATTCAGGTTACAACTCTGTTCCCAAAGGAGCATTGTTTTATTGCACCCATCTTTTGGTGACTGTGAAGTGTTAGAAAAAATGTGATTCTATTGTCTTAGCAATCCAATAACATAGCATTTTTATTTGTTGTCTTTTCAATCTCGCTCTTAAGCACAGGTCTGGGTGAGATGGAGCATCTGAAGTATGTGCACAGATTTTCAAAGCAGTTTTGATTGCTTCAGCGCTGAAACACACTGAAAACAGTCAGATTCTTTCCGATTAATACTTCGAATGCGTACGTTCCACCCAAGGTCTGCTCACGAATTGCCAATGCCTGGAATGAGTGATGAATCTTGCCTAAAGACAAAGACCAATGAAAAGAAATGAGAAATTAATAGGACTTCTAGTTTTCTAGCAGAGGAAGCTGGTGCTCTCCACAAACGCCCTTTTCAAAGTGTCTTGTGCCGAAATCCTGGAACGCAGTGACTGCTTTCCTCGAAGTGCTCCTTTGACCTGCAGAACAGTTCGGTTGTGTTCGTGTCAGATGTTACTGTGTTCAATATATGTGTGTGCGTTTAATGTGTAAAGTGACCATGCAATTGATTTGACCAAATATGTGCCCATATAGCTATTCTACTTTACAATATTTCACTTACTGTAGCCCCCCCAGGCAGAAATACACCCACCATCTACCTTTTGGTTCTGGCTTTCGCCAGTTTCAGCACTGGGTTCTGTTTTATTTTAGCCTGCGCTACGATCCACGTGCATTAATCAGTCAGAGTCATCACGTTTTCATCATGATTGCGAGGGTAATTACAGCCGTAATTGCACTTCTAGTGTAATTACTTCCTTGCTCGACTACCAGTTGGATTAATTAGATAGCGATAAGATGGTGAGAAATAAATCTCTACCAATATTTGGGATTACTGCAATGAATTGATCGGAAATAAAGCTCCGCACAAAACAGAGAGAGAGAGGGAACCGCGCACACGCACACAGACTGCTGATTGTGAAACGGCGGACCACCGCTCACTGTGAACGGGCCGCAGTGATGTGACCATCTCTCTCTCTCTCTCTCTCTTTCTCTCTGTTCTCTGTCTCTATCTCTGTCTCCCTCATTCCTTCTCTCGATTGATCTCTCTCTTTAACTCCTTTTATCTCCCAATATCTCTCTCTCTCATCCTTCTTTCTCCTCTCTTCTCTCTAAAACTCTCTTTCTCTCTGAATTATCTTGCTTTCTGTCTCCACCCTCTCTATTTCTTTTTCTCTACCCCATGTTTTTCTCTCTATCTCTTTCCCTCCCTCTCTCTCTTTCTATTGCTCTCTCCTTTTTCTGTCTTGTTCTTTCTGTCTCGTTCTTTCTTCCTGTCTCACTGTCTCTCTTGCTCTCCCTCTGTCTTTCTTTCTGGCTGTCCCTCTGTCTCTCTCTCTTTATCTGTCTCTCAGTCTCTTTTTTTGTCCTTCTCTCTGACTCTCTTTTCTGTCTCCCTATCTCTCTTTTTCTCTCTCTCTTTCTGTCTCTCTTCCCCCTCTCTTTCTCTCTTTTCTGTCTCTCTATCTGTTTCTTAGTCTCTCTTTTTTCTTTTTCTCTGACTTTCTGTGCCTTTCTGTCTTTCTTTTCTGTCCTCTTATCTCTCTCACTCTCTCTTTCTTTCTGTCTCTTACCCCGTCTCTTCCTCCCCTCCTTTCTGTCTCTCTCTCTTTCTTTTCTGTCTCCCTATCTCTTTCCCTTTCTCTCTCTCTCTCTCTCTCTCTCTCTCTCTTTGCTGTTTTCCTATCTTACTCTTTCTGTCTCTCTCCCTCTTTCTCTCCGTCTCCATCTTTTTTCCTTCACTCTTTCTTTCTGTCTCTCTTTCTTTTCGGTCTCCCTATCTCTATCTCTCTCTCTTGCTCTGACTCTTTCTGTCTCTCTGTCCCTCTTTTCTGTCTCTTTTCTGTCTCTCTCTGATTCTTTCTGTGTTTCTCTCTGTTTCTCTCTGTTTCTCTCTCTCTCTCTCTCTCTCTCACTCTCTCTCCCTCTCTCTCTCTCTGAGTGGAGTGCTCTGCTGAGTGTTGTTGAAGTGTCTGTAAATCATCAGCTCTTAAACAGAAATGAAATCGCTTCTCTTTGGATGCACTGATTGAAATTATAAAAAAAGAAAAAGGAAACCAATGAAATCTATGTTACTTCAGCTGTTGTGTCTTTATTTAAAGCGCTGGGGGAGGGTGGGATTTGGGGGGAATTAAAAACACGAAAATCAGTTGAATATTTTATGGTTGGTAATAATATGCTGTGCACCCTGCGAGTCATTTTAAGGACGCGGTGAGGAATGAAAAATGAGCTCCATTAAAGAAAAAAGAAGAAAGACAGAAAAAAATAGGATATTACAGCAGTTTGGTCATCTCGATCTGTCCCAGAACACTGTGTTTTGACACACGCTTGTCCTCATAGCACTTTTGAGTGTGAGTTCTAGAAGATCACTGACACGTTTGAGCCTCTAGTTCGCACTGTATTGCGAACTCGCACAGTTGGTTGTTTCAGGACCATCATTTTTGATCAAAAAGACAGATCTGCTCTGAGCATATGGCCAATGTGCTCTTTAGGGGAATGTCAGATAAAAGTCACAAGGTGTGTGTGTCTGTGTGTATGTGTTCAGGTCTTTGTGGGGACCAGATGTCTACAGCATGATGAAACACATCTGACATTGTGAGAATATATTTTTTCTTCTTTTATTCACAAAAAAGCTCATTTAGCTCATTTGTGGTGGCCAAATGTCCCCACAATTGATGAAAAACATAAAAATGTGTGGCATCATTGTGACTATTTTAAGGGCTTTATTTTAAAAGGGCAAAAAGATTAGCTTTTGGTTCCTGTTATTAAGGTTCAGAGTAACAAAGCGGCATTTATCCACAGTATTCTATCACTGGAAATACCCCACAAAGACAGCAATACAAACTTATGTGCACTGTACGTTTAGGGTCCACATGTGCCCAGAATGATGAAAAACATGGAAATATGAGACACTTTGGGAACTTAAAGCAAAAAAGATGAAAAAAAAACTTATTTTGAAAGATGTTTATTTGCACATTAATGGACAGAATGCACCAGAATCTCTGAGAATAAGCAGTCTGGCATGTAAGACAAGGTGTAGAATAGCAGTGTTTAATTACATTCAAACAGATGGCAAAGGAAAATATCCCACAAAGACAGGAATACTCTGAAAGTTTGTTGAGATCATTCAGCCCTTTGCGGGACCAAATATCCCAACAAAAAAACGTGATATTGAGGGAACTGTTGAAGGAATGATTCTATTTTAAAATACCTTTATTAGCTTTTGTTTGCTGAGCTTACAGTTAAAGTTAGTTAGGTGTAGCATAGCAGCATTAGCTAAGGATATAAAGGGACCAGATCTCCCCAGAATGATGGAAAACATGAAAATGTGTATCACTGCGGAGATTTATTTATTTGAGAGAGAAATTTGTTTGCTTTTGGTTGCTGAGCTTCAAGTTAGGGTTGGTTATGTGTAGAGTCAGACTCAGACACTCCACACGATTTAGTATGATTTAGTAGCTACAAAGTTGAATCAGAGATGTTATAAAGGGTCTTGTGGTCACTGGTTGGAAAGCAAATGAGAAAGCTTGTATTGTTCAACATGTCGTCTGTTTAAGGGGAAAATCCCACCCTTCAATAAAAAGACCCAATGCTGATAAACCCATAAGTGACTAACCCTAGCCCTAACCCTTCATAAAGATACACACAAGCACTCTAGCCAGAACAACCAAAAAAAACAAGTTTTTTGTGCATTATTTGGACCAGATGTCACAAACTATTTGATTTGATTTTGTCATACTTGACCAGTGATTTCACAGTTTTTAAACTGCAATTTGGTCTTCAGTTGTGAGTTTTTAAGTCTCTCTCCATGCAAAAGGATAAGAGTCTGTTTTTTTATGACTGAAAATAACTGCCCAGTGGTGTTTCCAAGGCGGCCGCCAAATCCTTACGTTTTCAAAAGCATAGCACTTTGTTTCCGAATTTAAAAATAATTTACTCCTACACATCAAATGAAAACGTTTTGTGGTTGGCTCTTCTGAAGGTCAGTCAGACAGCCATTTCCTGTCAAAGTAGGTGGTTCTTAACCATTTTAAACACAAAAAACGCACCAGAATATCAGTTGTCTGGCGTCTGACTCTGGAGACTTGGGTAGGTGTAGCACAGCAGCGTTAGCTACACTTACTCAAGGCAATGGGAATACAACACAAAGACAGAAACACAACATATGAAGTGTTTAGATCATTTAGCCTTTTATGGGTACCAAATAGCCAAACATGAAAATGTTTTACTATTTG